AACCAGCCGTTGAGCCACATCCGGGGGCCCTTCCGGAGGGAGGGAGAGGCCATAGGGAAAGCCCAGGAGGAAGAGTGGCCACGCTGGGCTTGTCCCCGTGCCGCGGTCATGGAAAAGCAGCTGCTGCTCCAAGGAGCCGCTTCCTTCCAAAGGGCTTTGCCAGGCTCCGTGTTCCTCGGGGTTTGCTCTGATGCCAGGCAGCTCTTTAATTAACCCAAAAAGGCATAATGAGCTCATTGCCCGCACGTGGAAGCTACATAAGCTCAGGCTACAAATAAGGCATGAATTTTTCACAGAGAAGAGAATTAAGTACCTGAGGAAGCGTGTGGATGCGAGGCCCAGGCGGTGCCTTCGTGAGCCGCGGGGTTTTGCCCCAAATTCCCTGATTTGGCCAGCAGGGCCAGCCCAGGCACCCTGGGCTAGGCGCCTTGCCAATTGGCATCTCTCTGGTGACCAAAAACACGCAGATTGCTCCCAAACCCATCCCGGTTTCCATGCGTTTGGCTTTGTCACCTATTTGGCATCTGGAAAAGGACGGGGTGCCCAGGGGTGCTGCTTCATCTTCCCCCCGCCATGGGATGTCCCCTGTCCAGGGATGTTTCCGCAGGGGCATGAGCAAAGCGGGGGTGTCCAAGGCAGGGGAGCATGGGAGCTGCGGGCAGCAGGGCTCCCAGCCCCTGGGAAAGGGGCCGGCTGGGAGCAGCGGCTCCGGGAAGGGCCCGTCCCGGCGCAGAGGGACACACGCTTGGGACGCGCTGCTGTCCCCTTGCAGCGGCGGCAGCCCTGGCACTGGGGACATCTGCCTGGCCTGTTTAAATCAGAGGTTGTTGCTCCTTCCGCCCGCGCGTGGGCGGAGCACGTCCTGCCCCAGCCCTCGCTGCCCCTTGGACCACACGACAGCCCCTTGGGCAGCAGCAGAGTGGCCTTTACGAGCCCTGGCATCAAGGGGCGACGGCTCCGGCCAAGCTGGGCCCTGTCCTGCTGCTGCAGCGCCCGTGGGACATCATTCCCACAGACCCGAGTGCTCCTCTGGGAAGAGCCGTGCGGCTGCCCCAGCGCAGCCCCTCGCTCAGCCCTGGAGCTTGCGACGGGACAAGTGAACGCGGTGCCTGGTGATCCCAG